CACTCCTTTCATCCATTCTTATCTACATTGACAATAAATATACATGATAAATGTACATGTACATGATAAATGATAAATATAAATACATTGTATTAATAATAATATTATTATGAAATCTATCATGTTTACTAAAAAGTTGTATAAATAGTTATTTGTAATTAATTACATGCGATGTAACGATCGGTTGTTTAATCGCTAGTAATTTGTCCAAAACATTACAACACGAGTGGATCCGTTGTTTTTTCATTGTTGACAACATCACCACTTGGTTTATGTCTTCAAGTACTCCCACATCAGCGATGGGTCCGTACTGTACGGCCAGTCCATGCAATCCATCCCTTCGTCTCTCTTCGCAAATGCGTTCGCATAAAGAGTTACCGAAACCATAGTTTGACTGTCCGTTATGTCCTTTACCACAAACAGCCGATGAGAACACAACAAAATAATCCAATTTATAGTGCAATTGTCGAGTCATTTGATCCAAGTTTGCAAAGATCTTGTGTTTTGTATCAATAGATGAACAGAACTTTTCAATCGTTATGTTTTCAAACAAAGAATCGTTTAATTCAAGCGCCAAATGAAATACCCCTCCAATGGGTGCCAACTCTTTGGCCTCATTTAACAGTTGTTTTGTGCCTTCAATTGTCAAACCATTGGCCGTCGATATAAGCCATTGGCAGTCAAAATACTTTTTCTCGTTTGATATATATTGAAAACGATTGTAAATAAACTTCTGATAATCAGTCTTAAGGCTAGATCTGGAAGTGACCACAAATTTTCGTGCGCCCAATGATTGCATCCATGGAATCAATTCCAGACCAAAACCACCCAAACCTCCGGTTATTATATAAACTTTATTTGGATTGAAATAAGTCTTAACGGAAACCAATAGTTTGGGAACCGGTTTAATGAATGTAAGGGCAGTTCTTTCTTTTTCCTCTTCCCTCATCTTTACAATGACTTTCCCGATGTGTTCACCGCTTGTCATATAACGAAATGCTTTGTCCGCATCCTTGGCCTCAAACACTGTATAATTCAATGGTTTTACGCAACCATTCGTACAGTTCTTATGCATCCAATTGTAAAACTCATCCAAATAGTGGATATCATTAATTATAATCCCGTCGACGGAAACTCCGATAAACTGTATATTACGTATGAAGTCATTCATTGCCAACTGCTTGTTGTAAATCATGTCATACTTTCCTATCTCTACAAACCGTCCGCTAAATGCCAGACACTCTAAACCGGCGCTCAGTTTCTCACCCGTCAGTGAATTGAGCACAACATCCACTCCCTGTCCGTCCGTCGCATCCATTATCTCATTCTTGAAGAGTATATCTCTTGAACTGAATATCCGATTCTCGGGAATATTGTATTCATTAATCAAAAACTGTTTCTTCTCTTCGGTCCCAACCGTCGCATAGATATCGCATTCATAGTGTTTACACACATAGATAGCCGCCTGACCCACACCTCCCGCCGCCGAATGAATCAAAACACTTTCGCCTGTTTTATAATATATGAAAATTGATATTAAATAACATAAATAATGTTTTAAGAATCACACAAACCTTTACTAAGATTCGCCCTTTTAATGAGCCCGTAGTGTACAGTACTATATGTGGTCAACACAGTCACCGCCTCTGCCATTGACCAGTGCTCGGGAATAGCAGTCATATAATTGTCCGCTACGTTGGCTGTCGTGCAAAACATGCGCCCGAACTCCAGTCCCATCACCCGTTGCCCGGTGTCAGCCCTACGGCCAACATATTCGCAACCCAATAAACAATCGTTGTATAAAATGTCCACTGGTACACGACCTTGGTAAATAAACAGATAATTTATTCATTTAAAAAATTAAAGTATTATTAAATTATGTTACCGCTTGCATACATGACATCCTTGAAGGTTAGGCCCGTGTAATAGACATGTACTTTACATTTAAATAATGTTTTATTGTTTGGTAAATGCAGTTCTTTTACACCAGAAATATGTCGGGAATCAAACCATTGAAGTGAAGACAAATCACGTGTTTGTCCCCAATTAAGGTAATAATTATCTGATACGCACTTGTCGTAATCTTTGGGAAGTTTTGAGTGCCGATAAGTTCCTACTTTCCCCCCTTTAATAACATTTGCCATCAAATCGTTGGCCAATATATCAGAATAGGGTATAGTATTGAAGTCAATGTTAGTGTCAGTATTGGTGTCAGTATTGGTGTCCATATGGAAGATATAGCGGAATACCTCTCCTCCCGGTTCTAATCGCAAACAATTCATTAAACCTATGATTCCGTTAATACACGAGTCATTCGCCACAAGCCATACATTTTCCATCAAATTTGATGATTCTTTAGAGGCAATCATTTTTTGCTGTAATATTTTAAACCATTTTTGGTAATCACTCGTTATGTTTATTATATTACTTTTCTTCGGAATATTATGAGCTGTAGTTTTTCTAAATAATAGCCCAACGGTTCCGATGGTATCGTATTTACTGCAAACCAAATTCATACCCAATTGACTACAAATTGTCATAAATTGATTGATTCTGTCTTCAAGTCGTGTATTAGTTATAATCGATGTTTCCGTTAAAGACATGATCGCTATCTCAGAAACGGTGAACTTATATCTAAAGATCGCTAACAGAAAACCATTGATTTGTAGGCAATCGTAAATATCTTCTATTAATGATTTTAAATCTTTTGGCCACAAGTCTTGTGAGTCTCTCAATACAATCAAATGCGAGAGATTTAGTGACAAATTGTGATTTGGGTTCCATTCAGAAGCCCTACTCTTATACACTTCACTGATATCTTGTTTTGATTTCACTATAAGTTTATAATTGACAGCAATTGGATTGAGTCTGAATTGTGTGATAAACTTTTCTACTTTGTTAGCCAATAGACCGGAACTCATGTTAATTTCGGTCACATTTATCTCTTTTGTGATCACATTTTCGCAAACGATATCAATAAGAGATCGTATGAGTCGTTCATTCAAACTGATTTGATTTATAATATCTTTACTCAAATCGTATTCCGATTTCTCAAGAATTTCATTCAATAATTCAGAGAATTTTGTTTTATTTTCAATAATTTTGCTCTCATTTTGTAATTGAGTAATGATTTTATCAAATATACGAAACATAACATAACTTTTATTGTCATTTCTATATTCTTGGATCATATCTTCGCTAATATTTTGATAATTAAAATCGCATTTTATTTCTTTAAACCAAAATTGCTTAATTCTAACCGCCATTGAATTACACACCTTTTTAAAGATAAATTATAATTACAATTGTAATAATATTATTAAATACCTAATAATTATACAAATATACAGTACACTGTTATGTATACTGTTATAACCATGAATTGTCTCTGGAGCTGTAAATGAGCTGTATTTGCATTATAATTTATACTCATTTATACTTTTCATAAACGGTAATTCATATATAAAGTAACATTCATATATTATCGGGGTACTATTTATATATTAGGATTAATTAATAAAGGGTGAACTATAATTACAAATAGCGCAACATTTATCATAAGTAATGTATGATATATTACCAAGTTTAAACAAGGATCACACAGCAATGCTATACGTTGTATACCATAATTTAGCAGGTATTGCTAACAAGAATTGATTTAGCATTGTCTGTAGATTTAATATGAGTACAATAGACATGTTATAGATTTAGCACTAAGTCCATAGAGTTAAAATTGTCTAACATTAAAATGAGTTCAATAGAATTAGCATTAGTTTTATAGACTTAACATTGTCTATAAAATTAATATTAGTTCCATAGATTTAACAGTATCCATAGGATTAGCATTAGCTTCATAGATTTAACATTATCAATAGACTTGCCCATAGACTTAGCATGTTAATCTTATGTCATGGCCTTAAGTTGTAATTCCATAGAAACCAATTTTAAAGCATTCTCCCATAGACTTAACATTAGTCCCATAAGATTAACATGGAGAAAAACTAACCTATCCTTTCATATTTAGTTTCCGATAAAAAATAATTTTTCATAGGATAATATTAGTCCATCGTAAGTCTATGGAAAAAGCTTTATAGGAATTACCCATGTTTCGTCTATGCCATAGCATTAACATGCAATATTATGTTAAATCCCGTGGGGTGGGGGCTGGGGTGAGGGGGCCGAACGATCCTATAAATCACATTGTTCATATCTGAATTGTGGTCTACGTATTGGAGATTTTGGAAACCACTGGTCATAACAAAGTAAATGACTGACCTCTAAATAATTGACAAATACGTTGCGTTCAAACGCATCGATTGCTGTCGTGTCGTGATTGGGATAAAAACCATACGAATTTAACACCAGATCCGTGCCATCCGTACGGCGTTGTATGGGAAGTGTTTGCAGGCCTTCAATCTCGAGTCCATTGGCCACCAGTTTATTGGTCTTTGCGTTGAAATATAAGGGCATATCAGCCGAGAAAATACAGAATCGCTTTTCAAATTGAGTGCTTCTTTCTTTTTCAAGTCCAATGACTTCCTTATATATATTGGTATCTCTTTCATTGTGGTCAACCTGACCATGGTACATCCCTAAATCAGCTAATGTATCTTGGTTGTTATTTTCAGACTCTGTTGTGACTAAATTATGATTCCGTCGGATAGCGGCGAACAGCACTCGCGGGTCCACTCGTACGCTGCGGATCATCACCGGAAGCTTTAATATACGGAAAGGGTTTACAAATGTCATCGATTGTAACATTGCGTCCAAATATGTCACACAATTGCCGTCCCATTCATTGATGCCATAAATTTCTCTGAAATCGTTGGTCTGAATGCGTCGGAGGCGTTGAAAGTGCTGTCCGTAGTCGAGGCCCACGACTCCCAACTCCTTATAGATGTCTTTCCTGTCGAGTGAGTACTGAGTACTGGCCATCAGTTTCTGTCTGTCGAGTATAGCGTTAGGCGTGAGTAAGACGTCGTCTTTTGGATTCCGCACTTTCCCCACAACACACACGTCGTCCGCCTCTAACACAACAAACTCGGCTGTAAAGAGCACTCAGGAATATATTGTCTCATGTTTTACAGTATAATTAAACTATTTTACAGTGTAGTAGTTTACTCGATGTAAGTTTCCCAAAAATAGAGGCCCTAGTTATTATCGTAAATATTACACATTATAGTGATCAGTAAAGCATATCAAAATATGCATTTATAAGCAGTCAAATATGTCATATAAAATGCATTTAAAAATGGTCAAATATGCACCCAAATATGCACTTATAAATTTTTTAATATGTGATTTAAATATTATTTAATATATTTTATGAACAATATAGCATAATGCTATTATGAAAATGGTTGTTTAGTTCAAATATTCATTTAAATACTAGTAATTAGCGGCAAAATATAAATAAAAAATATATTATTTCTTTTTAAACGCTGTAAACACAATAGTTAGCATCTGTATCATTACTACTTAATGAAAAATTAGATTGATTTGTTATAAAAATTAATATTTGTTCGTAAATTAAAATTAATTTCGATTGATTGTTAATTTTCCAACAGTTTATTTATGATTTTTGTGCAAATCCATGCTTTTTTATGCTTTTGTAGCAAATATGCACTTATATGCAAAATAAAAGTTTGCCAAAACACTCCTTATTATGTCATTCGTTTGCCCCGAAAGTCCCAAACATATATACCTAACCGGTAAAAATATGCATTTGCATGATATGATATGCTTTAGTGATCAGTCACTTGATAAATAAATGTGGTTGTAGGCATAAGGCTATACACTAGCTAGTAGTTTGACCACCTATGCTCTATTTAATATAACAGAACTCTATTTGGGTCTGTATTTGTACAAAATAGAGAACAATTCTTCTTTATTTTACCCACAATCCAACTATGAATAATGTGGTTTATAAGATCGATAGGCCCTTTGCCACCGCTCTATGGCCGAACGATTTTATAAACCACATTATTCATACTGAATTGTGGTTAAAAATTGGTGAAATGTTCTCTATTCTTAAACCTAATGATGGTCACACTTATAGATACTAAAACTTTTGAAATTCATTGTATAAAGTCAATCTAACAGTGTGAACTAATACAGTGACCAATCAACATTAAGAGAGAAACAAGTTTTGTATTGAGCAGTCACACTATTATTGGTCATAAGTAACTTTTCAAGTACAATATTCTAAAATTTTAAGTGCATTCAATATAAATTACATTATTGTTTAACAATATTTATTATTTAAACAAACCTGTTGCGGCAAAATACTTTACAGTCAGTTTAGTTTTAGACGAAACTTTTAAAAATACAGCCCTTTTAAATTGAACATGCTCGAATATAACGGGCACCTCATACCAGAGTTTGCCAATACTAGCCGCCAGTTTACGCCACGCGAGCATTAGATACCCGGTGGCCGGGAATATAGGGTTGCCATCAACCGAGTGGTCCAAATACAACATATGACTTTTATGAGTGATGGCATCTATAGTGAAATTGTAATCACTGACATTCATACTGTTGTAATTGTGTGGATATAACGGCCAATTAATTGATTCCTTGTGTTCCCATTGAATCAACGAACTAATTGATTGTGTACTTCTGGCCACTGGCCACTCTACTCGAGCGTACAATTTTTCAATTGAAATATTTATACCCGACTCGTAAAGTGTCGCCAATCCAGTCAATAGAGTGTCCAGATTTGTATCGTTTGAATCTTTTTTAATGAGCGAAACATACGTACAGTTGTCGAGAGTTTCGGTCACTATTTTGCCGAACACTGAATGCGGACCTAATTCTAAGACAATTGCATCCGAAGGCAGATCTTTGAGTCGATCGTAAAAGTGGACCGGATTTAAGAGATTGTATACGAAATACTCGGCCGAAGCGTATTTCAACGCCTCATCGCTGGGATCGGTAGCCATGAGTGAAGTGGACACCCATTTCCGGGACCGGAGTTTTGGATTTTGTGTATATTTCTTAATGGCTTCAGTGATAGGCTTTGCAGATGTGATCAGATATTGTGAATGATATGGGATTTCACAACTCTCTAACTGTCGCACAAATACTCCCTTTTTGGTCAACGTATGGATCAATGCTTTCATTTCATTTATTAAACCTAACAATATGTATAAGTTATGTAAAACTAATTATTAAGTATTAAACATTTTCATATATATACCGGAAACAACGACACTATTCTTGGCATTATTACAGGCAATGAAAACACCGTTTGGACACCATTTCAAAGCTTCATCTCTGGACAGCCCCACGACAGCCATCAATCCTTTCGGTATTTTGTTATCATTTTCAGTGATTGTTCCCCTAAAATACGCGGCAATCATAGCATCTCTTGTGGACAGACATCCGTCAGCGTAAGCACAAGCGGTTTCTCCAAACGAGTGGCCAATTATGCCGTCGGGTGTGATGTCCAGCGCTTTCATCACTTCAAACATCGCTATCTCTAATGCAGTCGTCGAACAGAACTTTGCAGTCATTGTAGACATCGCTGTCTTGTCTTCAGATAACAATAGATTTTTTAAATCGATTCCAAACTCGTGTAGTATTTGATGGCATTCTTCCACTTTATCGGCGAATATCTTGATTGTCATCAAAGCCTTAGCCATTGCCGGCCACTGACCGCCCAAACCCGGGAACACTAGCCATAGAGGTCGAGCACTTTTACCTTTCATTACTCCTATTTTTCTCGTATATTCGTATTTGATTTCACTGTTTTCTTCCAATAATTTCTTTATTATAACTGAACCTAAAATAAAATTTAAATATTATATTATATAGATATAACATACAGTATCTAAATGACAAAGTTAAATTTCAATGCATAAATAGTTAAAAATGGTAACTTAAAAATGGCCATAGCTATAACCAACGTACAAAATTGATAGTAACTTTAATAATTTTGGTATAACTTATGTCTATAACTGGGAAATTCCTTCGGAAGATTACTCCACTCATTGAAATATAATATGATATACTTATTCATGAAATAGAAGATTTGAAAGTCAAATTTTTCCTGATAAAAGTGATCACTGCGGGCACACCCGAGGCCGTCTGGCCAAATAAAATATACCGCCGTACTTCTGACAGAGTGTACTTACGATTTAAACTAATAATTTCTTAGTGATACTTGGCTTAATTTGAACATTAACTTGTAAATGTACACTAAAACTTGACATTGTTTTCAATACAAAATAGCTATAACTGAATGCAAACCAACCCCTGTATGGCATTCCCCCTGAATTAATATCGGGTGAAAATCTCATAACTGGTGCCAAAAGTGCCAAAAAGTCATTCGTCACTCTCTTTGGGTTGTTTTGTATGAAATCCATGACACGATTGACCGCATCTTGAGTTCGGCCGCAAATATTTACAATTCTAGGGATATTTTGGCAGATTGTCGGGCCATCACTGGTTCCCAATTTGGTGTTGGGTTCGAGCAATACGTGAACATTAGTGCCTCCGATACCAAAGTTATTGATTGCCGCTAAACCTATTTTATTTATAAATATAGTTTTAAATATAATTTTGTAATTCAATTTATTTCTAATAATTATTATTTCATCTCATATAATTCATTTAAAATCTACAGTTATAATTAATTACCAGGCTCATAATTATGTTTCTCAGTGATGATCATAAGGGGTGGAAAATATCTCTTCAACTCTTCCTTCAATTGTTTTAAATTAATGTTTGGAGGAATGCATTGATTCTCGAATGCGATCAACACTTTGATCACCGATGATATACCAGAGGCGCCCTCCGAGTGACCCGTATTGCTCTTCAACGCCCCCAACGGCAAGGGCTGAGTCCGGCCCTCGCAGTACGCGTTGTATACGGCCTTCACTTCTTGCGCGTCCCCAACCTATCACGTGATCATCAATTAATGTAATTATAATTTCACAACTTATGTACCGCCGTCCCCAAAAGTCCTGTTAAACTGTAGAAGGTATGAGCAATAAAATGTATAGTTTTATACTCATACAAATAATCGAATATCGTAATGAATTATTAAATCATATTCATTTAGTATGTTTTAAAACATTTTTCTTCGCTTTCTCAAAACACGAATTATCAATTGTAAAAGGTTTTGAATACCACATTGAGTTAACGGATACAAAGCCAATAAATAAACCACCATATCGGACGTCACTCAAGGAAAAAGAAATCGTAAAGAAACAAATCAGCGAAATGTTGGAACATGGCATAATTAGACCATCAATGAGTGATTATGCTAGTCCTGTTGTACTCGTACGTAAAAAATCTGGTGACGTCCGCTTCTGCGTCGACTCGAGGGGGTTAAACGAGGTCACAAAGAAAGACAGGTTTCCGTTACCGCTAGTCGACGACATGATTCATTACTTACAAGGGTGCAGATACATAACAACGCTTGATTTACATTCTGGTTATTGGCAAATACCGTTGAAAGAAGAAGATAAACATTTAACAGCTTCTTCGCTTTCTCAAAACACGAATTATCAATTGTAAAAGGTTTTGAATACCACATTGAGTTAACGGATACAAAGCCAATAAATAAACCACCATATCGGACGTCACTCAAGGAAAAAGAAATCGTAAAAAAACAAATCAGCGAAATGTTGGAACATGGCATAATTAGACCATCAATGAGTGATTATGCCAGTCCTGTTGTACTCGTACGTAAGAAATCTGGTGACGTCCGCTTCTGCGTCGACTCGAGGGGGTTAAACGAGGTCACAAAGAAAGACAGGTTTCCGTTACCGCTAGTCGACGACATGATTCATTACTTACAAGGTTGCAGATATGTAACAACGCTAGATTTACATTCTGGTTATTGGCAAATACCTTTGAAAGAAGAAGATAAACATTTAACAGCGTTCGTATGTTCTGAAGGTTTATTTGAATTCAATGTGCTTTCATTTGGTCTATGCGGAGCTCCGAGTGCGTTTCAGCGCCTTATGCAATCGGTTCTCAAAGGATTATTATGGAAATACGTGCTCGTTTACCTTGATGACATAATAATCTATTCACAGACATTTAATGAACATATCGACCACTTAACAAGTGTCTTCCAACGACTTGAAGAATATAACCTCAAACTACAACCGACGAAATGCTCTTTCGTTGCAAAACAAACAAAATTTCTGGGTTACATGATAAGCGAAGTGGGTATTTCTCCAGATCCAGATAAGATTACCAGTGTAAAAGACTTTCCGACTCCCAAAACTCAAAGAGACGTCAGATCTTTTCTCGGATTAAGCGGCTATTATAGGTCATTAATCCAATCATACGCAAAAATTGCCAAACCTCTAACGCAGTTATTGAAGAAAGAATCAGTAAAATCTAATAAACAAATAACCTGGAATGACGAATGTGAAACAGCGTTTAACGAATTGAAAAGTAAACTTATAGCAAATCCGATACTTGCTCATTTCATTCCTGAAGGAAAACTAATATTGTATACCGACGCATCTGACTGGGCGATGGGTTGGATATTACACCAGGTTCAAAACGGTAAAGAACATGTCCTAGTGTATGGCAGCAAAACATTCAACCCAACTCAAGCAAAATACTGCACAAGTGACAAAGAATGCTTAGCAGTGGTTATGGCAGTGACAAAGTTACGACACTTTCTCGCTGGAGAAACGTTCATCGTTAGAACTGATCACCATTCGCTATGTTATCTAATGAAGATAAGAGACATTTCTGGGAGACTTGGACGGTATGCTCTTAGACTACAGGAATACGATTTTAAAATTGAATACAAATCCGGACAGACTCACACTAATGCGGACTGTATGAGTAGATACCCAGTCGATACTAAGAGTGTTGCAGAGGATGACACAATTGAAGAAATCCCAACTTATACAATTATCAATTGTAATAAAGGAATTGAATGCATTAATCGTGCAAATCTTAACGATACTTATAATAAAATTGAAAATCATCTAATCGGTGAAATTCCGGACCTTAACTTTGAATGGGTTAGTGACGTTTATCAGTCAGCAAAAGACAACAAACTATATCTCGAAATGGACAAAATTACAAACAATGACATCATAAATTATAACATTGAAACAATTGATATGACCCTAGAACAACAAAACGATCCATGGACTTCAAGTTTGATCCGTAATTTAGAGAGCGAATCAGCAACGGTTNTGATCCGTAATTTAGAGAGCGAATCAGCAACGGTTCAACACAATTATATTCTGAAAGATAGAATTTTATATAGAAAAACGTTTGACGATTTTGGTAACTCAAAAGACTTATTGTGTTTACCGAGACATATGCGACAAGAAGTCATGCAAGAAATACACGGTGGACTTATGGGCGGACACATGGGATATTTCAAGAGTGCTGCTAAAATTCGAGACCGTTTCTATTGGCCTAAACGAGATAAAAGTATTCGTAACTTTATTAAAAGCTGTGCGTGCTGCCAATTTCGTAAACTCGATCCTGGCAAACCGAAAGGTTTATTACAACCCATACACGTCGATAAACCCATGGATTTAATTGGTATGGACATTATGGGTCCGCTGCCTCGGTCATTCGATCAAAAATACATAATTGTATGCGTTGACTTTGCAACGAGATACGCTGTTACAGCAGCCATGCCTGACTCAACATCACAAGAGGTCAGCAAGTTCTTCTTAAAATCTATTGTATGCAAATATGGTACTCCTCGCCGAGTGATCACCGACAGAGGAAAACAGTTTGTTTCCGCTGCTATGGAAGAAGTGTTCCGGTTTTTCGAAACCGAACACAGCCGTTGCAGCATTTACCACCCAAATACTAATGGATTAACTGAACGAACGAACCGATCCTTATTGGACTCAATTGCTATGTATACTAACACAAACCAAAAATCATGGTCAAAAGTGTTACCCTTTATTGAATTCG